CTACCCTCTAAAGCACCATAGCCGTTCACCGTTCGCCGTTCGCCGTTCGCCGCTCATGCTACCCCTACACACGCCTAACACCTAAGCACAATGGATACACGATTTGATCCCCCCTCCCTATGAATCCCCTCGTTCTTTTCTTTCCACCGCGCTTAAATACTGACGCGAAATCTCATTCTATATTTTTACATACACACACATTTATTTTAGTATATTTTTGCGTGTAGATAAACGTCTAATCATTATTGTATATTCCAATAATTCATGCTAATTTAAGGAAGCCAAATTTGTACTTAACATAATGTAAGAATACTCTTTATATAAAATATTTTTATTATAAATATATATATTTATTATATACGTGTATATATATATATATCTCTGTATACAATGTTATTAATAATTTGTTTTATATTATGAAATTTGTGTCAGCCATATCGTTCGTCTATATTTTCTCTAATATTATATTTAGAAATATTTTTATAATACTTTTTACTATATTATATATGTAGATTATGTTGAACATATATATATTCGTAGATTTAATTCGATGAATTTTCTTGAAAAAAAATGTCTCTTCACGATAAATTCTATGTGATAGATTTAACAAAAAATGACTCACGTATATCCGTAAGATCTAAATTTAATAACGAATCTATCTAAAAGTTTAAATTTCATGAATTTCATGTGGGTACGAAAAGGAGAAGTTATTTCAAGCCAATAATAAAGCACATATCTATCTACCTTTATATGTGAACCTTCAACTAGGTGAACACGAATAATTCTTAACAAACATGCGGGTACCGTGCTGAGAATTCCATTCTATTTAACCGTAATTATTTAATTGACGATCTTCGCCAGCATTCTCACAGACGTAACTGGACACATATCTCTGTGTATAATACACATGTGTTAATACACATGCATAGACATGGGACGATTCCCAACCATGATACAATGAAGCTTTATAAAAGAAATGTAACAGAAAACATGAATAAAACATATCTTTATATTATTTTATATATCCCCTACCTTGGTTTACTCGAATTAAAATAAATTATAAGAAAAATTGATAATGTCATTTTTAACAAAATATCATTCAATTATGATACGATAATACTCGATCAAAATAATTCTAACGTAAACATATTTGATACTTTATTACCTTGCTACTCGATCTGTATTAAATTAATATAACAAAATATATATTACATATTAAAAGAAAATTTAAACGATTACTCGATTCATTAGGTAAGATAAATTATAACCAAAAATATATTCTATAAAATAATAATGTTTGAAATAATGATCAAACTACGATACGATAATATACTCAAAGTAAAACAAATTTAAACGTAAAACTCGAAAATTCTTATTTAATTGCGAAAAATATAAATGCAAAAATATATATATATCCAAATAAAAAAGAAAAGAAATACAAATTAAATCTGATTATTAATTGATTAGATAAATGAAATATATCAAAAAATATCTACTTTAAAGCAATGAACTCTTTTACTTTTCGAGAACGATCACAATTTGGCTCTAGTTGCTCGTTGGGTAATCAATTGTTGAGACGAGAGAGAAAGAGAGAGAGAATGAGAGGGGGAAGAAGGGGATGCTGCCACGTGGCTTGCTTGGACCAAAACGAAAGAGAGAGAAAAAGATAGAATGAGAGTCGAAGCAAACTAGAAAGGGGGAACGATTGGCACATCGTGCATATCGCCGTGAACACCGCCGTCCACGTAGTCGTCGTCGTCGTACACGTAGTTGGTCCATGCAAGTTACCTTTACTATGTTTACCATTCTCTATTGTGTATGACTACGATAAGGGAGTAGCAGGGGAGTCTGCAAGTGAGATCGCATGAGTCATCCAAACGAAGCTTCTCTCAATAGCGTAGGCTAAATCTTCGCGATATACGCGAAAATATCAACTAACGTTATATCAAATCTCAATTTATTATTTATTATTTATTTCCTTATATTAATTACTATGTATTATATATACATATATAAATTTCATTTTTCTTCCCTCCAAGATGGTGGGATATTCATTTTGAAGAGAATATTTCAAGTGAAATTATTTCTATAATAGGTTGCAAATAAGTATATTATATATACGTATCTATAATAAAAAGTATCATATATTATAATATTATATTTATTTAATATATTAATATTTAATGAAATATACTTAATTGTATAATAAATATTATCCGATTATTTTATTGTAACATTTAAATATGACAATAAATCGTATAAAATATTACATCTATATAAATGGCATTAAATAAAATACCGATTATTATTTTAGTTTCAATTGTTTCCTCTCGTGAAAAGAATAGAATAAAAATTGCGGATTTTTTTCTTTTTTCTGTTGTTTTGTCTGTCTCTCTACTTTTGATATTACATTGTTCGTTTCTACGTCACTGTACTCTCAGTCAATGCATCAATCCGGCCTGCATCTGTATGTATTTAGACGGGGGAGAGACCCCTATGTGACATCATCCCCTTGCCCATCTACTCCTGGTTCGTTTCGCTGGGTGACTTCTGTCGCCTAACTCCAAACACCCTTGGACCTTGTGTTACCTCCCTTTTACCTCTAATCTTTATCAATTCAACCTATCGGCTTATCCTACAAAAGAATAGTCGACCGTACTACCTATAGAATAATGCAAGGCTTATTAGGTTTCTATAAATGTTCACATTTTTAAATGTCGACGTGTTTAAATGTCTTGTACATTTAAAAATCATCAAAATAGTTGATAATTATAATGGGTCTGTTATTTTTTTTAACGAAAATGTTATTTAATTATAATATATTAACAATACTTTGATGCAGTAATATAGAAAATATTTCATAGGGGTTGATTTCATTATTACAGATCAATTATTATTACTTAAATTAATTCAATATTTAATAATGTTGAATGTGTGTGCTTATATATTTTTTAAAATTCATTATTATTTATTCATAGTTATGTATCTAATAATTGCATATATGTATAATAGCAAAAATAACGATTTTTTAATCTCAGGATGATGAGTTAAGGTGTGCAATATGTTTATAATGAAAATTTGATGTCGTAATTTGATATTATTTAAAACTAATTACACAGCTATATGATTAATAACTATATTATTATCTTAATCATTAATATTATTATCTTAACATAAATTGTATATGCTTCACTATTAAAAATATAAAACTTTAGAAAACAAAGAGGTAAACATTGCATTATCATATTGTATCTTTGTCTTATTCAACCTCGTATATAAGATCTTAAGAATCATTGGTAAAAAATATGCGAAATTATCAAATTAGATTAAAATTTCTAATCTATGTTATTCGATAAAATTTTTTTTTTATTTTTAATAATATTCAAAAATGAATAATTGTTAATAAAAAAATCAACATGTTATTACCACTACTGTCGTGCTACATAAAACACAGGTTCTTATTCTACGTGCTACCGCACTGACCCGTCAACGTGGATTGGTTTATAATATTTTACTAGAATAAGACAACATGCTATTCTAAAATAAATCTCTTTGTCTTATAGTACTATTCATATATTTATATTATGAAATATACAATCTATTTTATATTCGTCAATGCATCTAACCTAAAAGATTATGCAACGGGTTGTAAAATATGTATTTGCTTTTAAATATATCATTTAAAGATTATAATACTCCACTTAGAAAAACTCCGATAAAACAGGATATACAAATTTGATAACATAAATTGTTACTAGTTATTCAATCTTCTCATTGGTTATTCAAAAAAGAATGTTTATTTATCTTTTATGATATATGAATATACAAACGTACGAATACAAAATGTATGCATATTATTTAAATTCTATTTTATTATTATTAATAAGTACCAGGAAAAAAATAAATTTTAAAATATTTCTGCAGAATTGAAAAATATCAATAAATCTCAGAACGATACAACGCCATTGTCTCTCCAATTGCGTGCCATTAGCTTTGGTAACTATTTCTAGTAATATCAGGTAAGAACGATGATACCTAATAATAAGAAAAAAACTATTCGCTTAAAGATGCAAGCAGTGATTTGTTATTTCGATTAGAGTCTCGTTATTTTTAAGAGACTATTATAATAAAGTTTTCATATTGAAAGAAAAAAAAAGAATAAAATCTATACTCGTGTATAATTAATAAATTCGAATAAACTTAAGTAATAAGAAACTAGAATAGTAAAAAATATTTATAGTAATATAAATGAACCAATCAGAAAGTTGTTAGTTAACCCCGTGATTCCTTGCGCGTTGAAGACTAGAAGAAGGTTCACCGATTGCCTGCCAAAGTTTCCTAAGGAGAGAAAAAAAGTGTGGCAGTGGCTGGTAGAAGATATACACATATATTCTTATGATATTTTACATATAACAGAAGTCTTGAAAAATATTTTACAAACGTGAGTATTACATTTCATCAATATTAATTCGGTTAAACGAATGCGTAATCATCTAAAATGATAATAATGACGTATCGATGAATCGAGAACGATTCCAGGCCAATGTCAGTCCATCTACCGTTTGCGAAAATGTCTAATGCTTGACAAAAAAAAAAAAGAAAACTGAAGAAAGAAAATAAAGATAAAGGAATAGAAATAAAGATAAAAAAAGAAAGTCATCGTGAAAATATTTTGTCGCCATTGGAAAAAAATATATCTTTGGAATATACAGATCTCGATTCTATTTTTCGTTTGATACAGTCAATTATTCTCGTAAATAAAAGCAACGTTATTTTCTATGGATTAAAAACCTAACCCTTAAGCGAGATTATTAAGAATAATATATTTTTTGTTTCAATCGCGCGTAATTATGTCAATATATTTATCGATACGTGAATATATTAGTATTTGATTGAAATTAGATTCATTTTTGTCAACGAATATTTGTTTAATTCATTTTTAAACGATTAGTCGGTAAGATTATTTTTATGTTAATGTATTGGTGAAATGCGCGTACATGCGCGCGCACGGTACCCCTACACGTACATTTATATGTATGTATGTGTGCGCTTGCGAATATATTCGTATTAGCTTTTAAAAAAGGGGTGGGGAATTGCATGCGAATACCTTGCACACGGAAACGCGTACGTAACCAAGTAGCTGTGTGTACAAGTAGCAAGTTACGAAGAAAATAACTACGTTTATTTCTATCCGCGCTTTATATCATTTTCTATCGATAATTAAATTTATTTCCAAATCATTAAGAAAACGTAAGAGGTAACAAAGCCAAGTCAAACCTTGTGCATTTCTATTATTTGTAACGTCTTGTTGTCAAGGAATAACGAAAATGCTTTGTATTCGAGTATATGTATTTATGCGCACGCACATTTAGTGTGCACGTTAACGAAAATGTATTACATTGATATACATGCGTACACTATGTTTTTAGAAATATTTTGATGAAACATTAATAATATGTGTGCCAAATAATTCTATGTTATTTAATAGAAATAAATTAATTTGCTACTTTATCTTCTTAACTTTTAATATTGAATATGATACAGCATGTCGTACAGTAAACATATTCCTTATCCATTGGATATGTAATATATTTATTGCATATATCACGATATCTATTCTTAATATATGCTGTTACTAAACGAAAGAATATATGCAATCTAAATTAATCTGAAACTTTATGTTTCTATAGATGTCAAGTGGACTGACACATAAGTATCGTTATAAAAATGTGGGCTTAGACTCACAGGAATTAAGACGACGTAGAGAAGAAGAAGGTGTGCAATTAAGAAAACAAAAGCGTGAACAACAATTATCAAAAAGACGTAATGTACCTAATATTGTTTCCGACGAGGATAATGTTTCAACTACAGATGAATATTCTCTACCTACTCCACAATTAGTAAAATCTATATTTTTTTTTGCTTAACTATTATAATTATAATACGTATATTAATCAAATTTCTCTTGTTATTTATAACGTGCCTTTATCTTCCTATTACAGCAAAGTGTTGTTATAACAAAAAAATTGGTACAAGCATTATACAGTCCTAATGTAGAAGATCAATTAGCAGCTACTCAAAAATTCCGAAAGTTATTATCCAGAGAACCAAATCCACCTATAGATGAAGTTATACATACAGGAATAGTACCTCGATTTGTTGAATTTTTGAAAAATGATACTAATTGTACACTTCAGGTTTGTACGCTATTATTATTATTATTATTATTAATTAATTAATCTACTTTAGCGAAGAAAATATTTCTATCACTTTTAGTATGAATAATGGAAAAGGCCCAAGAATTATATATTTTTTATTTTAAAAAGAAAATATATATTTATATATACATTTTGTTTTTTAGGTAACATGACATCGCATCGTTATCTGTTATGAACCAAATACGATTAAATATTTATCAAGAAGTTTTATACATATTTAAAAACTAATAATAATATTGTATGTTATTCGACAGTTCGAAGCAGCATGGGCTTTGACAAATATTGCGAGCGGAACATCTCAGCAAACACGTATGGTAATAGAAACAGGAGCTGTACCTACTTTCATATCGTTACTCAGTTCCGAATACGAAGATGTACGAGAACAAGCAGTTTGGGCTTTGGGCAATATCGCAGGAGATAGTCCTGATTGTAGAGATCATGTTATACAATGTGGTGTCCTTACACCTCTTTTACAGTATGATTTTATAACATTTAGTTACTTTTTATTATTTTTCTTACATGTATCTTAACAATTAGATATGATATTCTATATTATATTTGATTTAATTTAATTTTTACGTTTTTAGACTTCTTACTAAAACCACGCATCTATCTATGACACGGAATGCTGTATGGGCATTGTCTAATCTCTGTCGTGGCAAAAATCCTGCACCTGTATTTTCTGAAGTAGAACCATCTTTACCAGTTTTAGCACAACTTCTTAATCATTCAGATTCAGACGTTCTTGCTGATACTTGTTGGGCTTTGTCGTATTTAAGCGACGGGCCAAATGATAAAATACAAGCAGTTATAGATGCTGGCGTTTGTAGGCGTCTTGTAGAACTTTTGATGTAAGTATTTTATTTAATATTATATCATTAATATACGGCAATATTTATAAAATGTCTAACAATAATAAATTAATTATAATATTACATTGGACATTAATAAGCTATTTTTAAAATGAGATTTTAGTTAGAGGTACATGATATCTAGAAATTAAATAAATATTCATGTTCAATATATGATTATAGAATAATCTACTTATGTCCTATTTATTTAGGCGCGAAGAAACTAATGTAGTGAGTGCAGCTCTTCGTGCTGTTGGTAATATAGTTACTGGTGACGATGTCCAAACTCAAGTTGTATTAAATTGTTCTGCACTACCTTGTTTATTACATCTTTTGAATTCATCCCGAGAAACTATACGTAAGGAAGCTTGTTGGACGGTTTCTAATATTACTGCTGGTAACCCTATGCAAATACAGGTGAATAATAATAATAAAATATTTTATATCTCGAATTTGGAACCATCAATATGTTATGAAGAACACAATTAATAAAAATAATTATTATCTATACGTAGTATGTTAAAATATGAATTATTTCTTTTCAGGATGTTATTGATGCTAATATTTGCCCTGTACTAATTGAGATATTAGAAAAAGCCGAATTTAAAACTCGAAAAGAAGCAGCTTGGGCAATCACAAATGCTACCAGTGGTGGTACACCGGAACAAATTCGTTATCTTGTTTCACAGGGATGTATTTCACCATTGTGCGATTTATTAACAGTCATGGATACAAAGATCCTCCAGGTTGCATTAAATGGTTTAGAAAATATTTTACGTCTTGGCGAACAAGATTCTAGTATGCACAATGGTATAAATCCTTATGCAGTTTTGATCGAAGAATGTTATGGTAATGTATTGATAAAAAAAATTAATTAATATTTACGTTTAATATTTATATTTGCTTATAATGTTCTTTTCTTCTTTTTTTTAGGCCTAGACAAAATTGAATTTCTTCAATCTCATAAAAATCTGGACATTTATCAAAAAGCTTTTGATATTATCGATCGATATTTCGGATCTGAGGAAGAAGATACAAGAATTGTTCCATCTATTGACTCGCAAGGACAACAATTTCAGTTCACAGCACCCGACTCTTCTCAACTTCCAGTTGAAGGCTTTGAATTTTAAACGATTAAAATATTGATTGAAACCTGGAATAACGTGCTTCTGAATACGACTGTTCCATGCGCTATCTTTTACGATCCTTAATCTCATGAGAAATGTAATATCTCTAAAACCGAAAAATAACAACTAGCTGTACGAGTTTTCTCATACCGAAACAACAAACTAGCTGTACAAGTTTTCTCATACATTGTATTATTATTATTACAAATGCTTTTGAGTTCGTATATTATCCATCATTGAAAAAGGAAAGGAAAATATCAATAGTACATACCTCCCTTTTAAAAACAGAGTTATTAGACTTATTATTAGTTAACAAAATGTATCTTGCATCTTCATTTTGTTAAGTGAAAAGTCTAATAATTATGACATATATATGACTTGGTAAAAGTAAAACATCTTTGCAAAGATCTTTTATCTTGCAAAGATGTTTTACTTTTACCAAGTCATTACAATGCATTAACCTCTTCCGCTATGCGATAATAGTGCAGCCTGTGGGCTCAAACAAACAATGCAATAGTTTGAAAAACAAATTGAAGCTATCAACGTATTCGTATATTTGTCCTATAATTTGTATCAGAGTTAAACTTGCGGTAATAGCAGAAGGGATTAATGTTTTTATCGTTTGCTTTTCTTGGCTCTTTCTCACCTATTCTAAACAAAATAAATCTTTATTAAATTATAATAGTCAAAGCTTTTACCAAGCTTTCGTGTTGTTAATATGTATTACTGATCGATCAGTAAACTTATTCGTATACTTTTGCAGCGTAAAGCATTCAGTTTAACAGAGATATAAAAAAACAGAAACTATTGTATTAGTGCTTAAAAAGTAAGTATGATTTAAGTGCTAAGACTGTGGGTAAACAGAAAAAAAGAGAGAGACCGATTATATTCAAAGCCAGATATTATACGTACACATTACGACATGACTGACTGGGAATTACGACACAGCAACAACACAATGACGACTTGCGCAACTTGCAAGATGTATTGTATGACTGAAGTAAACGACTACTACTACTTCTACTACTACTATTACAGCCAATTTGGACAACATTACACAATGTGGTACTACTACTCATCGTCTCTTTACTATGATAGATAAATAAAAATATGACCAATTAAACTTTTTTACTGTAAATACGTATCTCGTAATATTAAGGCTATTCTATATAGAGTGCCCTGATAGATGAAAACCGTAATTACAATGATCAGACAATTGTAAACAAAAAACACTTTAATTTTCTAAAAAAATACCTGCAAGCAATAGCATGAAATTTTAATATTTAAATGATGAGGAAGAAGAAGAAGATAAAAAGAGAAAAAGATGGTATATATATATAGAAACGAATGGTATTATATATACAAACTTTGCTTAGAATATTAATTATAATTATTTTGATTTCTCTTGGCTTTTTCATTTTACATATTTTATATACATCTTTCGTGTTATACAATAGTATAACATATTAAGTTTTCATTTGATCGAAAGGTTGAACGAAGACGGGCTGTTTAAAAAGTTTTATGATTTTTAATGCAGGAAAAAAAAGAAGATATATTTTTTATTACTATTATTGTGATCAATATAATATATAAATAATATGATTGATTTTTAATATTTAAAAAATTTTTGAGGATTGTCTATAGCAATCGAGTAACAAACAAACAAACAAAAGTTAAATTCTATTGTATAAGAATTGAAAATTGTTTCTATTACTATTGTATAACATGCATTAGATTTTGGACATTCTGTATAAAAAGAAAGAGGTCTATGACTGTATAAATTGTATTTATTATTTAGGTTTGATGATACCATACTATATTATATACAATCTCTATGTATACTTCCCTAATTTTTAGTTACCGATATAAATTATGACAGAGAACGACTGTATCATATTGAAACTTAATAGCTCAAAGCTTTGCTGATAGATTTCTATGGTAAAGTACAAAGCTACGAGTACTTGTTGCCAATTTATAAAACATTCTATACGTACGTATATATAAATATATATATATGTATATAAACATGTATATAAATATTTATATATATGTATATGTGTAGTGCACATAAGCATATTAGGAAGAAATGTATCTTCTGTTTTCTTTTTTTTACTAACGTTTTATTGCATGTATTATCACTCAATATAGAAATTCAAGTAAATACTTTATAACAATGTTTAACAAAGAAGGAATAAAACAAAAAGATTATAACAAAATAGTGTGATTTAATTTTCATACAAAATTCAATGTGAAGATATAAATAAAACAGACACAGAAAACAAAAAGGGTTCCCCGATATGTTGCAATTTATAAATTAAATATTTTTATATAATTAATTATATTTAATGTAGTGACCTATCGGCGAACTTATAATTAATAAAACAGATCTTTTATATTTTTTTGAATAAATTTAAATATAAATATACATATATATAATAATATATTAGCTCAAATTTTTCAGAAAAAAATTACGTAGAGAATAATATTCGTAAAAATCTCTTATTTGTTTAAACAAATATAAATAATAATCGATTAAATAAATCTTTGTAAATTGGCAATGAGAGAGCTCCTCACCCTCACAAACGTACGATTTCTGACTGACACTGTTAATCAACGCTGACGACTGCCGACTAATTACGCTATAGTAATGGTAATAATAAAAATGTGGGAAGAAGTGTCACAAGTGCATGAAGTAATAATACATTTTACTATACTTTAAACTTTAATTTAATCTCTTGGCCGTTGTAGGCAAAATCTGTAGCGTTACATGTATCAGAGGCATCTATCTCGCTGTTATATTTTTTTATAAGTTTGTAGAAATTATCTTGAATTATGCTTGAACATAGTTCATTTTACAAATATTGTTCTGTATCATTATTTCGCATAACAAAATAAATTTGCATAATAAGAACTATCTTCCGCAACATCAGTTCCTTTTTGATCCGTAATGTATATCTTTTACGTTCTTGCTATTCTATTTAAATATTATTATTTATCTATAATTCATTCTGCGCTATATCTTATTAAAAAAACTCTTACAAAACATATATAGGTAATGTTCAATATAAATTAAAGAAGCAAACATTCTTCAATGTTATGTTTTTCTTTCATTTTTGATTCGGGTACAATTGGTATTATCGGGCCATCCATGATTCGTATTATTAGAGGATTTAAAATATCCAAATCAATTGTTTTAGAAAATTTGGTAGTAAGACTATCTTCTACGAATTTATCTTTGTGTAATCCTTGGTAACTATTGGACATAATAGTAATTATATAGAAAGCCTTGGAAACTAAAGGATTTTCCTTATCGCATAAATTATGCAATGCTTTAATAGACTCAGATTCCATACTAAGCAAATCTTCAATAATCTAAACAAATATAAAAGTTTATAAATTTTATATATAAAGCCGTACACGAAAGTCTTAATATTTAAGTCGAAATATTTCTAAACTTACCACAACTTTATTTCTCAGAATATCTGCTTTCCATTTAGAAATAACTTCTCCGTGATCGTTACCAATGTTTTTCGTATTCAACAATAAATAATTATTATTACCTAAGACTTTGCTACTTACGTCTCCAAGCAAATGCGCAAAACATTTGATCGTGTTGGTTTCATTACCAAGCAAAATAACAATGGAAACTTTGCTATTTTCATTAATAACGTCTTCTACTTGAGATTGAAATGCGTTCCACGTATAAGAAGTTTGACTTTTAAATTTTGATTTGACGCTTGCCACCGATTTACGAAATTCTTGTATTCGATTATTTTGTAAAATCTGCTTTGAAGTTTGCGTCAATCCATCATTATCTTCTTCATGATGATTACTTGTTAACAAGGGATGTTTATATATATTATATACTAATATTAAGACCAACACCGGAAACATATATATCAATAACTTTGACCAATTAATATTTTTATTATCTTCTATATTATTTTTCTTTCTTTCATTAGAACGAAGTGGTGACTTAGATTTTTGACTACTATTATGAAGATTAGAATGGTCAGACGATGAGTTTTTTGTTGTGTTGGAATCTTCCTTTGATTTATCTTTGTCAGAAATGTCGTTATCGAAATAGTCTGCAGTATTTTCGTCAGATTCTTCAGAACTGGTAGTTTCACTTAGATTATTCATTTTAATTATTCGTTTAAGCACAAAGGTGTCTAAACTCGTAGATATCTTCTTTATATTATTGTTATTTTTATCGTTATTATTATCTATATTTTCACATTCCTTAACGTTTCTTATAGGAGGACGACATTTTGGTATAATACGTTCATAATTTAATATCTCATTCTGCATTTGCAAAATATAATGAGAATGAATTTAAATGAAATCAATGAATTATGTATAAAGAAAAATCCATAGATAAATTATTATTACGTTAATAGATTTCTCAATAGTTCTTCTTATAGGAGGACGACACTTTGGTATATTCTTACAAAATTCTTCTGTACTCTGTAATTGAAACATATAATACGTATTCATTTTAATGATTTTAATTTAAATTAAATAGAAGAATTTTTTTCATTAAATCATAAAAGATAACAATTGCTTACAATTATTTTTTGAGTTATAATAATTTAAATCTTTTGAAAGAAATAAGAGAAACCTTTTAAGTATTTAAACGTTAAATACATAAACAAAAAAAAATAATAATTCATACGTACATTAGAGTTCATCATTTAGCGAATATAATAATCGAATTAATAATAAATGAATAACATACATACATATATATAGAAATATGTATTTATCCTTAATAATATAAGTAACTCTTATAATATACTAACACTGTTCTACATTGAAAACCAACGTATATGAAATAGAATTAAGAAATGGAAGACTTACGGAATATTTTCGTTGTAAGTCACTTTTGTCTAATGGTTTTGTTATAAATAATGAAAAAGTTTGTGTATATCAACAAATATTCCTAATCTCACGATTTGTAGTTAGCAAAATATTATTTACAGCTTCCAATTAATTTCACTAAAAAAAATACGTAACCTAAATGTCACTGTTTTCTTTTCCTATTTATCAATAAAAATGTAATATGTAAATTCTTTACAATATGCGTACCTTTTCGTGTTATATATATATATATAATTTTTTAATATTATTAATATTAGAAGTAATATATATAAATATGATATATTTATAAATTATGTTGATCTATATTTGGAATTCAGATTCTATGTTTACTTGGTTGTTAAAGACAATTATATTAAGCAAAACTATAAAGATTATTAAAATAATAATTTTGTTTAACAAGGATATAAAGAAAAGTAAAATACGTACTTTTCCTTTCTTCCTGCACGTTAATTTTTCTTTTTTTATCGTAGGAATGCAGGCAAAGAACCTTAACAGCAAAAAAAAATGAATAAGTGCTATTTGCACATTAAGCGCACATTTAAAATCTATAATTCCACACTTTATCAACTAATTATTTAAGTAGTTATTAATAATTAAAAAAACAAAAGCGTTTTTTCTAATTTCTAAGCAAAGCAATGACGTTTCCTATTGTTTTTTATTTTCAATCAATTGCTGACTTTTTATTTGTCCATTTTTCTTCGGTCTTTCTAGCTTCAATACGGTATCGGTATTTTTTTAATCTAGTAAGTCTTTTTCTCTGTACCTGTTCCGAGACAATCGTTCTTAACGAGTAAACTCCTTTAATTAATAATTAAAACAAAATATCTATATTAGATTTTTAATTGTTATTCGTTTTATATAAAGGTATATAGAATTTAATTACACATTCACTTTGTGTACACTACTAGTTATTAAAAGTTACTAGGAAATAAGAAAGTTACAAATATATTGAAATTCTAGTAACATGGCTACGTCGAAATTGGTAATAGTAGTGCTCTACCTTTAACTTACCGACCGAAATCTGATGGTAACTTACCATCAGAATTACCGACAGTAAAAAACCTACCGCAGAAAGAAATGAATAAGTGATCTTAATAGCTCACTAATTGCTCATTCAAAATCCATAACTGCTTGCTTAATTTCTAATAATTATTTTACTGTCGGTAATTCTGATGGTAAGTTACCATCAGATCTCGGTCGGTAAGTCTTATTAAGAATTTTTATTAGAATTCTAGTTTAAGGAAAGATTTTTAAATACTATTTTTTAAAAACAACTTGTATAGAAAAAATTGTCAATATTTTATTTAATCTTTTCGATTGAAAAAGGTAAATTGGGTACAAAGAAGAAGTAATTAAAATAATTTTTTGTTAATATTAATTAAAATTTGTCGAAAGCACATTGATTAGGAACCTCCGTTAATAAATCAACATTAAATTAATTATTGGTATATATATAGGAATATGTGATGATACAAATAATAATAACTTTTAATGTATGATATATAATAATCATTGCATTCATTTCATATCCTTCCTTCAACTTTTCAATGAGCCCATTTTTTAATAATGACAAAAAAGACATATTTATATATCTATGAACATACAATTAATGTAATTACCGTAATAATGAGCGTGGAAATTTGAAGATCATCTTCCCAAAGTTATATTTTAATGAGTCGTTAATCTGTCGATCATTCTTTTTTTTATTACGCACGATTATTAATGCGATCCTGATTTATACATGTACATTTATATAAAGAGTGACATATTAACATATATATATATATTTCTATTCGAAACTTCTATTTTATTATCTTTGAAAGTCGTCTTCTTATAGTTCTCGTATGATTCGTTTTAAAAACGTATCGTTTCATCAACTAATATGTTTAAGGAAATCTGTCGTTTCCTTCGAAAATTCTAGAAAAATTCTAAATATGAAAGAGCTACGACGCACGGTAGCTGCATATTTGTAATTAAAAGAATACTACTTCAGGGCGTTAGAATTTAATTAAATGTTAACAAATATATACGCAAATATATTTATATATATATATGTATATATATATATATATAGAGAGAGAGAGAGAGAGAGAAAGAGAAGAGAGAGAAAGAGAAAAAGAGTTAGAGGGTGAAAGAGATAGATGGAAATAAAAATTTTTAAATTAGCCCCGAAAGAAGAAAAAGCGAATTAAGCTCGTGAAATTCGACAAAATTAGCAAGCGCAATCACAAGCGCAACGACGTACGCGTTTTTCTCGACGATGAGCAAAAGGTTCTGGAATAGAACGTACGGAACGTGGTTGAACATCTGAAAAAAAATTAATCAATATAATTGAATGTCATATTAGAAACTCTAAAGAAATTAATATATTCACTATTATCATTGTATTAATGTGTAAAAAATTATTAAAGAAAATAAATAAATAAATTTTTGTTCACTGACAATGTGGTCTATTCTCTTCTTCCCGTTCTTGTTGCTGTTGCTGCTGTTGTTGCTGCTGCTGCTGCTGTTGTTGTTGTTGTTGTTGCTGTTGCATAACAGGATGCATTGGTTGTTGCTCCTGTTGTTGATGTTCCGAATCCCGATCGGGCATTTGACCATCGCTAACTTCGGCACGAGCTTCGACTGGCACTTCCAATGATTCGACAGGTCTCAATGGTAAAGCGAACCTTGGTACAGGGAATGCACGTCCTTCTACAACCTGTACAAATGTTTTTAATCAAGATAATGATCAAACAAACTTATATATATTTATTAATTGATCATTTTTATTTATTAAAGCAAAAAAATTGGCAGCGGTGGGATTCGAACCCACGCCTCCGAAGAGACTGGTGCCTTAAACCAGCGCCTTAGACCGCTCGGCCACGCTACCACACGTTTGACGGGTATCCAAATTATTGTCTTCATGACCATTTACCCTTTTTATTTATATCAATAGTATTTATAAATAATTAATTAGACGTGAAACGTACTTGGTGTATTATATTACGAATTTCAGCAGGTACAGGGAAGTTTTTCTCAACTTCTTCACCCTCGTCTTCGGGACCTGGGAACGGTTTAGCTTCTTGTTGCTCGCTGGAAGCATCCTCTCCTCGTCTTCGTCCTTCGATATTACCATGCTCCAAAAGATTTCTTACTTCGACCGGGAGTGGGAATGATCCCATTGGTATAATGGGTCGTGCACCTTCGGGGAATGGTTTGAATTCTTGTACATTCTAAAAAAACAATATTTATGAATATTTTTTCGCGATGATTTATAAAAGGTTGTCGAACACAATTATGATTTACCTCTCGTCGTGTTCCTTCAGATACTTGTATCGGTACTGGCCGAGCTTCTCCAGTAATATGTTGGATTATGTTCTTTATTTCTAAAGGTACTTGTTGAATAATCCTTCTAATCTCAATGGGTATACCCTGGAATGGGGAATGCGGTCTTTCTGGTACAACTTGCGGTTGCATGGGCATTCTTTGTTCTGTTTGCGGTACGATCATTTGGGGCAATACTCTTTGTTCAGGAATTTGTTGTTCATTGTGGGACGGCGGTGGTGGTGGCGGTGGTGGCATCATGGCCGCACCCTGTTGTTCTTGACCATACATTTCAAGATTTTGATCGGGTTGTTGTTGATACATAATAGGTATCTGGTGCGGTTCCTGACGTTGTTCTTGTGGCATCGGTGGTCTCATGTTTCTTGCTGGATCCATTGGGAAGTGACGCAATTCGATCGGGATTTGACGCATTTCGATCTAACGTCAAATCAAAATAAATCATAAATAACAAATAAATGATATATTATAATCGAATAATAATATATTTTTTTTCGATATTATTAACCTGTGGTCCTGTTATACCAGGCTGTGGTCCCATCATAGAAGGAATTTGTGGGCCCATTCGCGGTGGTCTCATTTCCATCGTAAGTTGTGGAAGATTGCGTAATTCGGCAGGAAGTACATTAGCTGGTATATGATTTAAACCTCGTGGATCACTTAACGGCAATTGTTGCATGTCAGGAACTTGATACTGCGTGTGGATTTGATACTGATGATAATTTGGATTAGGTTCTTGAGATTGTAGGGGAATTTGTACGGTTCCTAATGGAACAATGATCGGAGTAAGCATTTCTTGCTCCTGTTGTCTGTAAAACAAAATAATGTTATTTTATCATAATTATATTTATAATACTATTAAGTATCTGTTTTTTCTTTTTTTTTCTTTCAATAAGATAATTAGAAAAATTAACTGTACTTACTCCTGATTAGGATTGCCTGATTCGCACAGTATAGCAACACGTTCACCGCTTAATCTTTGGAAACGTTGAGGATCGGTACTGTTATCCAATCCGTTGTCGTTAGTTCCGTCCATAACTTCATCAGCTCTTCTTCTTTCTACTACACAGGAAACTCTACTTCTTGCTTGTTGTATTAGAGCCTGAAGAAAAAGTAAAAAAGGAAAAAAAAAAAAGAAAAAAAAAGATTGAAAAATATTAATGGCATAATGGTGCATGGAAAAATATTAAAAATGCATATTTAAATTAATTAAATGTAATAAAAGTATTATATTAGGTTGTCCCATAAGTTTCTTCCTTTTTTTTTTCTTCTTATTAATATTTCCAAAGTAATAAACCTACGAAGAATTTTTGGTTCACCCTAATATTATAATTTTTTCTTTTCGTCAAGATGTGTAGTCAACTTACACCAGCTATATCGTCCAAATCAAGTTGGAGGGGAAGTTTAATATGGACGGGAGGAAATTGATCGTCATCGTAATCGTCGTCGTCCTCGTCACGATCGCCATTTTCGTTGTCGGATTTCGAACCATTGTCATCTTCCTTTTGATTCTTAATATCTTTAGTATTTATTTCATTTTCCTTCTTAGTCGTTTCCGCAAGATTTTGTAAGCTCTCCCTGGCTTCTATGGGATCCTGTGAAATTTAATTATTATAATCAATTTTAATTTAATTATTAATTAATTCGATAGAAAGTTTTTTACATTTATAATTAACCACACGTTGTCACTTATATATATATTTTTTTTTAAATAAATAAATTTGTATATCTAAAGAGATAATTTGATCTATATCAGAGTTTACTCAAATGTTTCCACTTGGAAAAATATTTGTACGATCTTGCGTTTAAATTTTATACTATATTCTTTCTTTTATTATCATTATAAATTCATACCCAAAACTATACCTATAGTATTATCATAATTTTTAATTCATTTTTGATCGTTGCTTGTTCGCAATATTTCTTCTTTTTTTAATTTTTGTAATCCTATAACGGTGTCGTCAGTTGTTACAATTAGAAAAGTCATGATTTAAATCGCATACACAGATACCTACGTATAATTAGAGATATATATACCATATTATTTATTTATTTATTTATTAACGATTAATATATATGTCGTGTTTAAAAAATAGAAAATTTATGAAACAAATTCTCATAGTCTCTCAAGTCATAGTTTATATTAGATTTCTAGCATTCGTACTCGAGGTCATAGTGCGATAAGAAGCTTAAGCCAATTCACTTTCTCTCGTAACTTGATTCACCACGACCAGGAAGAAGAAGAAGATTTGCAACGATGAAGGATAATTGGCCTTTATGACTATGGTGTACTGCATAACTTTCAAAATACGATTAACTAAGATGTTTTATGCCAACTCGATTATTTTCTTTTTATATATAAATATTTTCAATTTTTTTTTTCTTTTATTGGAAACGTTTTTTAATTTAATCGTTCGATTAAATTACATTTAATAAAATTGATTTTATTTATTCTCGTATACGTTTGGCGCAATATTAATATTATTTAATAATAAACGTATGTATATATTATGTGTCAACACGGAGATATGTAATTTTAGAATCGTGCAAGGTAAGTATTTCTGTACAGATTTTGTAACTTTTCTCAACGATTACGGAAACATACACTTGTCCCCAATTCTTCTGTCTTGCAATCGCATCCTTCGAAATTACAGTTTTACGTTAAGGAAATGTCCCCTACTTTTTAGTTAGGAGACAAGCCTGTTATTGATTATTATTAAATTATGGATGCGCTTATGTACGATAAATGTACAAAGAATATATGAAATTTATGCACGAAAAATATGCAAGTATGTATAGCAAATGTATGCACGTATGCTTGATATTATATGCTGAATGCAATATTAAATATCAATAAACATTTTGCAATTATATTCTGTTGTATTATTCTTAGAATTGCCACTTTTTTTCTAAATTACATGGCATTGTGTGTCATAATTGTATTGGATAGAAAAACCAATCAAAATCTACGATCATATTTCTCTTTTATTTTGTATAATTTGAATTAATCATAAAAATAAAATAAAATAAAATAAATAATAATTAATCGAACGAATGATTTCTATACGATGGCAAGAGACTAATTGTAAGTATTATAATTACCTAAGGCACTTTCCACTTTGGAAAATGATTCAGGACGTAGAAAGGATTTTACGATGCACGGAGTGACAAGCAGTATAATCATCGAAGGTAGGACAGACAGGATGTAGTGTATGAAAATCGATTAAGTATGGATCGTATGTTGTACGTAGAGTAAATGGTGTGTCTCTTTCTCTTGAAAAGAATTTTATATACATACATACATACACAAACACATACGTTTATAGTAAACGTATATATATACTATGTATTTACGTGTAAGTAAATATATGTATGAAGTTTTAAATCGAAGAGTGAGTGAGTGAGAAAAAGAGAGAGTGTGTGTGTATGCGCGGATCGTGCACAGCTAAATTGTAGGTTTCCCCAGTGCATTCTGGCGAGAAATTTTCAAAGAACGATGCACCATCAAATAGAAGAAGATGACTTTCTTTCTTTGGAAAATTGTATTATTCGCATCGGCAATTTCGAAAGGTGAGTCAAGTCAAATGTTTTATATCCTTTAACTTTCTGAGATGTATAATATATGGTATATTCTATATTTTTCTTGTCATTATTTGTCGTGAAAATAAAATTTATAATACAATAAACGCATGAACTTTTGATTCACGATAATAATTAACGACGAATTGGATTTAGATCATTTTCCAAAAATAAAACGGTTAGATTTAATCTTTTTTTTTGTGTGTGTGTTTTGTTAATTACTTTGAAGCTTTCTTCAAGTATTAATTCGTATAAAAGTAATCCAGCGAACAACGAAAAACAGGTCTGTGTGTAAGATATAAGAAGAAGAAGAAGAAGAAGAAGACGACGTCTTAACTTCGAACGGGGTAACAATACAGTTACTTTACGGAGAGAAAATCTTTTCAGAGAACGTTCACCTTGCTTTGGCTTTACTTTGCTGTACTATGTAAGCTATGTAGTATATGCTGTGGTGTACTTCGTGTTGGTGAATGCAACGGGCAACCCACTTTCCGTTGTGGTACGTAAGTAGTAAGTAAGTAAGTAAGTAAGTAAGTAAGCAAGCAAGCAAGTAAGTACCTTTCCAAGACGAGTATCTTGAAAAATACAAAATGCAGTAGTATTCTTTAATACCTCAAATCATTTAGTTGGGTTCAATCATTTCTAAATATCTCTTCTCGCCTCACACATCATCGGTGATATATATATAACCTTTGGAATTTATTTACCTAACAAACTATCCACTCGTTTTTATTAATCGTTAAATCGTTTCTTTCACTTTATTACTCGCTCGTACAGAGTTATATATTAGTGTCAAGAATTTTTCTTTTATTGTTTAATACTACGGACGATCATCTTTATTCCTTTTTTTTTTTTTTTCTTTTTCTTTCTGTCCTATCTTCATTTAACGAGCTTTTTTTGGTCTTCCCACTGTTACCACTCTGTATACCCGTAGAACGTTTACTCGTAAAAAAATGAAAAAAAGAAAAAAAAGAAAAATTAGTTGTAACGTGTATACTATGAGTAGAAATTTCTTCTTAAGAGAAATATTTTGTCTCTATAGAATAATCAGGAAACGGAATAACGATAATGATGATTACGTTGGTATAATTAATGTCAAGGTGACCAATCAATGCATATCTTCTTTTTAAAATCTCATCAAGGAAGATATACCTTTGTTTCGTTTTAAGATGCCAAGACGAATAATATATCTCTGACGTGTAATCTTACGAGTATATTCATTCCTAATTTTGTAAAACATATTACGTTACATGCTATTCAATGATTTTATTATTAGAATGATATACCTATTTCTAAAAGATTTATATTGATTTTGTTAATTAATATAATATAATCAAGATTTGTCCTTATTTCCTTTCACTTTTCTTTCTTTTTTTTGGATAAACTCTTCAACAAATCGATGGAAGAATTTTAGAAAATTAAATGGGAACAGGAAACGGGAAACAGAAAAAACGTTATTATCGATCCTTTTTTTTTGTTTTTTTCTCTTACTATATTTCTTTCTTGAAAAACTGGTCAATGTGTAATTAATCTGATAAAGGCAATTCGGAAGTAGATGTATTCCAAAAGAGAGAGGAAGAACAACAACAACAAAAAATAGAAAATTGTCGTATATCGTAACAACTTTTCCAAGTGAAAACTCGTTCGACTGATTTTTTTTTCCATTATTTTATAACGACAAATTAGTATATATATATATATTAGATTGTACGGAAAGTAATATCATTTTTAAACCTCATTTTACGTTCCATCAATAAACATTTCAAACATGATACAAAATTTCCCTGTGTTCTTAACATGAAAATAAAAGCACTTATATTTCCATTAAAATAAATTTCTTCCATTTGAAATTTACGAATTAAATAAATATATACATATATATTTACAAAAAAAACAAAAAAAATAAGTTTTCTATTATATATCGTAAAATTCAATTTTCGTAATTTATATCACATACAAATTTGGAATAAATAATTTGAATGCACAACAACAACGAATAAGAAAATAAATTGTTTTCAAATGATTTCACTTATCGTTAATACCTATCCACGTAATATTTACCGATTATTTTCAAACTATATATATATACATATTTAATTTACTAAACTTCATTTATAATTTTACGTTTCATTTATATGCCATTTCCGTTTCTGTTTCGAAGATCCCTCGATAGAAAGTAAGATCAACTTACGCGACGTGAGTTGCGGAAGATTCATCGATCGTTTGTAACGGTAATGCAAACACATACACATGTACATAAATATATATATATATATATATATATATTTATGTACAT